CCAGGAGGTCGAGATAGTAGTGAGCGGAGATTTCACCACTGTACTCCAGCATGGGTGACAAAGGGAGACTCTGTTTAAAAAACAAACAAACAATCTGTGAACCATGCCTGTTCTGAGCCAAGCAGGTGCTGGGGACAGGCCCTCCCCAACTAGGGCCACGCTGGGGCGTACAGTATGAGCTAAGGCTGCCCCAGAGCTGGGCCCTGGGCATTCTGGGTAGGAGGCAGTGGAGGCCAGGGAGGAGAGGAGAGAGTGGCCCAAGCCGCTGAGAAATTGGACCAAAAACAGAGTTTTGAACAAAGAAGGTACCGGCTCCAGCAAGAACTCAGACCTAGCCGGGCACGGTGGCTCATGCCTGTAATCCCAGCATTTTGGGAGGCGAGGTGGGTGGATCACTTGAGGTCAGGAGTTCGAGACCAGTGTGGCCAACATGGTGAAACTCCGTCTCTACTAAAAATACTAAAAATTGGCCGGGCGTGGTGGCGGGCGCCTGTAATCCCAGCTACTCAGGAGGCTAAGACAGGAGAATTGCTTGAACCCGGGAGGCGGAGGTTGCAGCAGTGAGCCAAGATCACACCATTGCCCTCCAGCCTGGGCAACAAGAGCGAGACTCCATCTCAAGAAAAAAAAAAAAAGTCAGACTCAAGATGTGGCAGGAGCTGGAGCTTGACAGTTGGAGGCTGCTGAGGAAAGGAACCCATCTTTCTGGCTGGTTGAAGTTGGAAGTGGGGACACCCCTGCCTGAGGTGGCTGGAGATGGCATCCAGGGCTCCGAAGGGCCTTAACCCTTTCTCTCCTCCACAGGCCCCACTGCTTAAAATGGCTATGAACCAGGTAGGGGCGGAGCTTGGGTTTGGGGAGACCCACAGCTAGGGCCCCAGGTTCCTTAGCTGCTCCCTGTCTCTCCACCAGGCTATGGGGGGGCCATGAAATCCCAGAAGCCAGGTGAGCCCTGCCCCGGCCTGTCCCTCTGCCTCCCCAAACCCTGAGCTCCCTCCTCTTATTCATACCCCGCCTTGATCTATTCCCCCAGGATTCCAGTACAGGATTGGGCTGGGAGCCCAGCCAGGTGAAGCGGGTAGAGTCTGGGGTTCCGGGGTCCGCATCTGGGCGGCCTCTTCCTCCCAGAGGTGGGATTGGTGAATGATGGGGAGGGGTGACGGGGCGTCTCCAACCCTGGCTTCTGACTTGGCCCTGAAGGGGAACCATAGGCACTGTAACCCCAGCTTAGCTCAGCCCTCCCTCCCCAACAAGCCCCCCACCTCAGAATGGCCCTGGAGCAGCTCCTGAGGGGATGGGAGGAGCTGGGGTCCGGATGCTGAGGTTCTGAGGTGGATCTGAGTTGGGGGCTCCTGGGTACCTCATCTGCTCCCCATTTTCCCGAAGGCTTTAGAGGGGGCATGAAGGCACAGGAGCCAGGTGAGCCTGACTCTCCCCGGGCTTCTGTCTCCCCAATGTTCAGAGCCCCCTTCCCGCTCTCATCCCCACCTCCATCTGTCCCCTAGGATTAGGGAATGGGAATGGGTTGGGCGCTCAGCCAGGTGAAAGAGGTGGGGTCTGGGGGTCTACCCCTGGGGCGTCCTCTCCCTGCCTCCTTTCCCAGTCTCATGGAGGGCTGAGCTGGTGAATACCTGAAGAGATGCTGGGAGGAAGCCTCCAGTATTCCCTCACCTCCACCTCAACCAAACCCCAAATCATCACCCCACCCTCCTCTCCCCATAGTCTTGACAGCCCAGAATGGATTTGGATTTGGAGCAGGTAAGAGCAGGGGTGGGGAGGGGCTGGGGGAGAACGTGGGTGGGGCCCCTGAGTCACTCACCAACCCCCCATATCTCCTCCAGGCCTTGGAGGGAGTGTGAAGCCTCTGAAGCCAGGTGAGCCCCACCCTGGTCTGCCTCTCCATGCACGCACCCCTGAAGCCATAAGCATCCGGTTCATGCTCCCTCTCCCTCTCCAGGATATGGGAAGAGGCTGGGAGCAGGGGCCTTCCCTGAGGCTGGAACCCAGCCAGGTGAGGACACCTGGAATAGGAGCTCAGGCTTTTTATTTATTTATTTTTTGAGACAGAGTCTCGCTCTGTCGCCCAGGCCTGGGTTCAAACAATTCTCTTGCCTCAGCCTCCTGAGTAGCTGGGATTACAGACATCCACCACCACACCTGGCTAATTTTTGTATTTTTAGTAGAGACAGGGTTTCACCATTTTGGTCAGGCTGGTCTCGAACTCCTGACCTCAGATGATCCGCCCGCCTTGGCCTCCCAAGTGTTGGGATGACAGGCGTGAGCCACGGCGCCGGGCTGAGCCCAGGCTTCTTAGAAGGAAGGGGGAAGACAGAGAGCGGGCCAGGGGGCCAGGGGGGCAGAGTGTGGGTCTGAACCCTGAGGAATTAAGTGCCACTGTCTGGCCCAGTGTGGCTCTGTCTCCGGAGTGAAGCCTCAGAAGCCAGGCTGGGGAGGGCCCTGGCTCCCCGCCCTGTCTCTAGAGCTGCCCACAGCCGACTGAGCTGCCTCCTCCTGACGCCCCCTCCGAATGCTGCTGTCTCACACCCACCCCCTCCCTCCCCCTAGGATATGGCCACAGAAATGGACTGGGAGTCCAGTCAGGTGAGGGTAGCTGGGCCTGGCTTGCAAGGGGTCAGGAGGTGGGCAGGCAGAGAGAAGCTGGGGCCACAGGGACAGAGGGCTGGTGTCTGAGGATCAGCAGCACTGGCTGGAGTTGATGTCAGTGTCTCTGTCTCTCCCAGGCCTAGGAGCAGGGATGAAGCCTCAGATGCCAGGTGAGGGGACTGCCTGCGTCTGTGGCCCCACCTCCCCTAGATCCTGGCGCTCTAGTTGGTTCTGCGTGGGACTCTCAGGGGAGGGGTGACCCCTGCCTCATGAGTGAGGGGAGGTCTGTAGGAGCACCGAGGACCGAGGGGAGAGTAGGTGGAGGAGAGACTGAGAGCCCCCTTCCTGGGCCCTGCCTCCCTGTCCCCCACTGGCCCAGCCTTACCACTCTTCCTTTTTTGCCCCACAGGCCTGGGAGCTCCAAATGGCTATGGACTAGGTAGAGGCGGGGCTGGGGTTCCAGGACGTCCGGAGCGGAGGCCTTGGGTCCCTCACTTGCTCCCTGTCTCTCCACCAGGCTATTCAAGGGTTGTGAAGGCCCAGAAGCCAGGTGAGCCCTGCCCAGCCTGTCCCTCTGCCTCCCCCAAACCCTGAGCTCCCTCCCTCAATCATACCCCATCTCAGTTCCACCGGGATTCAAGAGGGGGCTGGGAGCCCATCCAGTGAGGGGGTATCGGGCTGCTGTTCCTGTCTCGCTCCCAGGCCTCCAAGGCAGGTGGGCACCAAAATGAGGGAGGAGAGGCGGCTCCAGGATCCCTGGTTTCTGACTTGGCTCTGAAGGGGGATCCAAAGGCCCTTCGCCCTCTCCTTAGCTAGAATCCCAAACCCCCTGCTCACCCCTCCCTCCCCACAGGCCCCTCAGCCCAGAATGGCTACAGAGCAGGTACTAGGGGGCTGGGGTTGCTGGGAGTGCAAAGGAGGAGAGAGGTAGGGGCCTGGGTCTCCCCTGACACTGTTCTGAGGGTTCTCTCGGGGGCTCCTGCAGCCTTAGAGGGGGTGGAGTCTGGAGAGGAGGTGGCACAAGGTGGACGGCGGTGCCACGAGCTCCAGTTCCGAAACTGAGAGGAAAGGGGGGCCAGGCTCCAGCCCCCTTCTGTACGCCAGCCTCTCCCCGTACCGCCCCCACAGGCCCTGCAGTTCCCACTGGCCATGAACCAGGTAGGGTAGGTTGGCGTGGGCACCGGGTAGGGGGGCAGATGCTGGGACTGGAAAAGGCCCCTCAGCAAGGGGTGGACCATTGGTCTCTCACCTGCTCGCATCTCTCCAGGCGTTGGAGAGGGCATGAAACTTCAGAAGCTAGGTAAGCCCTTCCCACTCCTCCTCACTCTCCCTGCCTGCAGAAACTGCCTACCCTTCCACTCTTTTCCCCTCCCAAGCCGCACCCTGTCTCCCCAGGGTGCAAGAATGGGCTGGGGCTGGAGCCTTCCTGTGGGAAGGAGCCCAGCCAGGTGAGGGAGGTTGGTGGGAACTGGAGGAGAGGGGAAGGAGGACGGGCTCCAAGGGGCAGAGGTAGGTCTCAGAAGGGGAGGGGTGGGGTCGGCCTGTCCATCATTCTCCATGGGTCTCTGGACTGGGAGGGAGCCAGAAACCTCCAAAGATGAGTTCCTCTCTGCCCCTCTTCCTGCCTCCTCCAAGGTCCCTCACTCCAAACCCGCCCTCATGCCCTGCCCTCCCTCCCAGGATACACACCAGGGACCCGGCTGGGGCTCCTGCCAGGTGAAAAGGCGCGGCTAGGGGAATCAGCAGGGGAGAGAGGGGTTCACTACACCCCTGGGGTGGACTGGTGTCTGAACTGGCCTCTTTCTCTCTCTCCCCAGGCCTGCGAGGGACTTTGAAGCCTCAGAAGCCAGGCGAGTGGGGGACCCCTGGCTCTGCCCCACACCTCCTTCTGCCTCTCAGCCCTTCTAGCCCCTGCCCCCAGTGTTGCCACACTCATCTCTGCTTTCCCTCTCCAGGATATGGCCATGAAAATGGGCCCCAGCCAGGTGAGGCCACTGGGACCAGGGTTGGGGGCTCAGGAGGAAGGGGGAGGGAGGCTGCTGAAAGATGGACGGGCTGGTGGACCAACACCAGGAGCCCCATCCCTGACAGATCCCTATGTCCCTCTATGCCCTGCCTGGATTCCCAGGTCCCCCCAGCAGGGTGTGGCCTGAGGGAGCTGGGCTTTTTCCAGCCTGGCTAATGTCCCCCTTAGGTGCTGGGTCTGCCCTAGAAGCCACTAGAGGCCGGTAGCTTGGCCAGGCCAAGGCCTCCTGGGTGGCGTCGGTGAGGACTGGCCTGGAGCATAGCTCCATCCCTCCCTTCCTTCCCATCTTAGGTCCCTGCAATGCGAGGGTCGCTCTGAAGCTCCTTCCCAGGCTTCCCACTCCAGGGGTCCCTTTGGACAAAGAGGGTGGCTGGGGCCTGAAATCCCAGCCCCCACCTGCAGTGCAGAATGGCAAGTTCCCAGGTCAGTGTGGAGTGGGGGTGCCTGGGGAGCACTGGGAAGCACCTGGCCGCCATGTCCCACTCTGTCCTCGGACGCCAAGGCTCAGAGAGGGCAGTGACTTGTCACACAGTGATCTGCTGACGAGAAGCCCGAACTCTTTCCCTGGGACCCCATGTATCCCCCAGTATGGGACCCCTTTCAATCTCTGCCCCATGGCATCCGCAGCCTCTCAAGCCCTGGGCTGGGCTCACTCCTGCCCCTGACTTTCCTCCTAGCACCGATGCCAGCCATCCAGTGGGGACTGCAACCTCAGAAAGCAGGTGTGAGTCTGTCTGCCCCCAGGCCCCACATCCCAGAGGGACAAACTCTCAGCTAGGTCTGTCCTCTATCCCCACCCCATATCAGGGTCACTCCTCCATCACCCTTGTTCCCTAGGCTGCCTCAGCTATTCAGGCACCCTAAGGCCAGGAAGTCCCTCCCCGAGTCTACCCACTTCTACCCTCTTGCTCCATTTTTTTTTTTTTTTTTTGGAGATAGTCTCGCTCTGTCGCCCAGGCTGGAGTGCAGTGGTGCAATTTTGGCTCACTGCAAAATAAGCCTCCCAAGTAGTTGGCATTACAGGCACGCACTACCATACCTGGCTAATCTTTGTATTTTTTGTAAAGACGGGGTTTCGTCACATTGGCCAGGCTGGTCTCGAACTCCTGGCTTCAAGTGATCAGCCCGCTTCAGCCTCCCAAAGTGCTGGGATTACAGGCGTGAGCCACCGAGCCCAGCCTCTTGCTGCTCTCTGTTTCTTCTGGTTCCATTCCCTGTGGACACAAAAAGTCCCTGCTTCCCCTCCAGAGTCCCTAAGGTCCATCTTTGGCCCCCCAGGAGTCAGGGGAGACCTGGGTCCTCTGCACTGACCTTCTTTCTGCTCACAGGGCACCAGCCTCCAAATGGCTATGGACCAGGAGCAGAACCGGGTGAGGAGGCCCTTCCTGGAGTTCCTCCCCTCCCTTCCCCTCCTCTTCCCTTCTCTTCCTTCTGGCATCCCAGGAAGAGGGGAGGCCAGGGCAGTGGCTCTCGCTGACCTTCATCTCTGAGTCACAGTTTTCTCTCCCCCAGGTTTTAATGGTGACCTCCACCAACAGAAAATTGGTGAGTCCTCCTGGGCTCCCCCATGTCGGGCAGAAGCTGGCATCTCCCTCATGCCTGAGTCAGTCTGTCTGTCCGCATCCCCCGTCTATGAGCTGGTCACCTGGCCCTCCTGATGCTGTCCCTGTTCCACTAGCCTGTCCCTAGCTCCTCTCCAATCTCTGTCCTGCAGGTGTTGGTTATGGGAATGCTGTCCTGGGAGCCAGGGTCTTCCCCGAGGCCCACCCACAGCCAGGTGTCTGGGGAGCAGGGGTGGGGGTAGGAGAGTTGGGCTTAGAGCCCCAGCCTGGCCTCTGACACCCTCTTTCCTCCTCCAGAGTTCCCTGGGGCCAGAGGTTTTAGGAATGGTGAGTCAGACCCAGGGGACAAAGTGCAGTGGGGTTGGGGAGACAACAGCCCAGGGGCTAGGCGGGAATGACCAGAGTCTCTTGCAGGGGATGAGGCAGAAGCTCTGGTGTACCCCAAAGCAGGAGCTCCAGCCCCTGAAGGAAATGGTAAGAAATGAGCCTTCAGGGAGCAGAGCCAAGTCCAACAGGGGCCAGGGGATCCCAGCTCCTGTGGGCAACGGTGCCCATGCCAGCTTTCCTCCCCACAGTGCAGGCCCGGGTGCTGTGGGACTCTCGCTGGCCCACCCTTCAGGCCTGGGGGGCTGGCTTGAAGCCTGGATATCAGGCTGGAGGTGAATATGCTGAGGCCAGGAGTCAGCCAGGTAATGGGATGCCTGGATGAGTGTGTTGGAGCCATTAGAGGAGGCTTCAGGGAACTGGGCCCTGGGCCCAGGTCTACCCACAGCCCCACAGAGATGGAAGGTACAGCCCTCTTGGTGGAGGGGATAGAGTGAGTGGGAAGACGCCAGGAGGGCATAGGCAGGAAGGAGCAGGAAGGAACGGGGTTGGAGGAGAGGCCAGCAGAGCCCAGGACCCTGACAGCCAGCCCGGACACTGGACCAAGAAGGGGAGGTGATGGAGCTGGGCCATCAGGGACTCAGTTCTCCACACTCTGTCCCTCTCCCCACGGTCCTCTGAGAAGCTGAGGCAGAGCTGAGCTCTGGGTCCTCCGGGGAAGGGGGGTCTCCCAGAGCCTGGGTTGAAGCTTGGGTGGACGGAAGCTCTCTGGTGACCCAAGTGCCCCTGATCTGTCCGTCTGTGCTGTAGGGGGCCCTGAGGTGAAGAGAGGCAGCAACGGCCAGCTGGGGAATGGCTACGGAGGTGAGAGGGAGGTGCAGTGGCCGAGCCGCCTGCCCAAAGGCCCCCCATGGTCACCCCTACAGCCGCACTGGGGGACACCCAGCCATTGGGAAGGATAGCAGATTCTGCCACCTGTAGGTGGCTGCTGAGTGACTGACCCCAGAAGCTCAGATCCCTGGGAGGGGAGGAGGGGCAAGGCCTCACCAGGGCCCCACCCCTCCCTAGCCTGGCTCTATCTCTTCCCAGGCCACTGCCCTCTGGGGAAATGCTGAGCACTGCAGTGCCCCTGCGGGTCCTGAGGGCCTCTGCCTCACACCTTAGCCTACCCAGCAAAGAAGACAGACCCTCGGGCTTGGAGTCCGGTGCCTCCTGGCCGTCGACCCCCTCCGTGCTAGCACCACAAACACGCTTCCCTGCTTGCTTCTGCGTGCCATGCAAGGGGCTTGCTGACCAGGGTGGGAGTGGCATGGGCCTGCAGCCACTGCCCAGTACCTCATTCATTCATTCGACAAACATCAATGAGGCCATGTGCCAGGAACCATGTTCCCAATAGGAGAAACCATGAGAAGCAAACAGACTCCATCGACGCCTGCCCTCAGGGAGGGCATCACTTGGTCACCGCCTAGTGGGGGAACCACATCCAAGTTAGGGGACTTATGCATGGAAAAGAACACTTCATTCTTTGCGTTTTAATTCATAATCGATTTGTTAAAGTTGTTAGATAAAAATCTCATTTTCCTTAAGCCTTTATAGTGGCCTTCCAGATATGGTATTGACTAATAATTTGGAAAATTATAAAATTCACTTTCACATTTTTTGATGAATGATCATTAGATTATAAATTTCACAGCTTGGCCAGGCATGGTAGGTCACACCTGTAATCCCAGTATTTTGGGAGGTTGAGGTAGGAGGATTGCTTGAGCCTACAATTTTAAGACGACCCTGGGCAATATAAAAAATAAATAAGTAAATCAAAACAAATATGAATTTCACAGCTTGACTTTTCCCTAAATATTTTGCATGCCTTAAATGCATGCCCCATCTCTATAAAAAATAAATAAGTAGGCCGGGCGCGGTGGCTCACGCCTGTAATCCCAGCACTTTGGGAGGCCAAGGTGGGCGGATCACGAGGTCAGGAGATCAAAACCATCCTGGC